TAACGGCTTTCCATGGCTGAGTAGGGATTCAAACTTTGTTCTCTAAAGTTGTATTCAAACCATTACACCATGATGGCTCTCCAAATTAATGAGTGTAGGATCCAAATTTCAACCCTGCCAAACTTCTCTTCTTACAAAGATCTTATTTGAGAGTTGACATCTGCTCCTATCCTAGGATGAATGGTTGTATCTGTATATGAGCTACAAATATGGAGATTAATATCAACCCCAATTGACAACAGTCTAGTCCAGTATCAAGAATCCTAGTAATAATAAATAACATGCATCATGCCCAATGTGTTTCAACATTTGTTTTCTTCAGAGACAGCATGAAAAATGATAGTAGAGTAACAATTTGAAGAGATAGTCACATCAGTGAATGTTAAACTATGCCAATAAATATAAAACATAAATCAAGTGCAGATAAATGTTGGTCCTCTATTTTTTTTTTGGACTACAGCTACTACTAGCTATACAAGGGTGAGGCTGATGGGAATTGTAGGTCAAAATATCTGGTGAGCCAAAGTTCACCACCACCACCACCACCAGAATTGCTCAATGCCATATTCCAGTCCTTCATATCTGGGCATCTATTTGCATATTATGCAAATTATTGTAATTAAGTAAATTATTAAATTGCATTCTCACTATTCAAAATCAACACAATAAATATCACACTTTTTCTCTCATTATGTTCCAACCTCAGTACAAGTCCCATGCTAAGAGCTCTCTTTTTCTTCTTTCTCCCCTAGCTGTTGTGAAGAGAGAGAAGCTTCCAAGCAGCCCCAGAGAGTAAAGGGACTCCCTTTTCTCTCGCGAGGCTGTTTGGAAGCAAAATTCCTCCATGCCACCTAGCCCAAACTCAAGCCGCTGACACAATCTCCACACAACACAAGGCCATCTCTGCTTGCCTCCTTTCCTTTCTTGCCTTCTGGGCCTGTCAGGGGGAGAGTATGGAAGAATAAGATGACAATGCTACACCTGCAGGGTGGGATGAGGCTCCCACCCGTGCCAACCTTCTTGCACAATTTCCTTCTTCATCACTTACCCACTTCTTCATCACTTACCCATCAGCTTCCAATGAAGGAGAAATTCAGGATTTACTACTAGGGAGCCTGGGTGGCACACTGTTAAATGCCAGTACCGCAGCCACAACACTGGGAGTTTGATCCCTGAGGGCTCCAGGTTGATTCAAACTTCCATCTTTTCGTAGGTTGGTAAAATGAGTACCCAGCTTGTTGGGGGCAATGAGCTTACAGATTGTAAACAAAAAAGTCCACAACATGATTCCAATATGTGGATGACACTTTCACCATTTGGAGCCACAGACAAGAAGATTTGACCATGTTTTTGAACCATCTGAACAACATCCACCCAAACATCCAATTCACAATGGGGGGGAGGGGGAAAGGAAGGAACATTGCCATTCTTGGATGCCCTGGTCATCTACAAACCAAACCAACAATTGGGCCACACAATATACAGAAAACCTACACAAACAGACAGATACCTACACAAGATCTCCAATCATCAGCCAGGACAAAAAAGAAGCACAATAAAAACATTGGCAGAGCACACAAAAAGGATCTGTGCACCCCACTACCTGGAAGATGAACTGAAGCACCTAAACTGAGCTCTACAGGCTAATGGTGACTCCAGCTCAGACATCAGAAGAGCAGTCAGACCCAGAAAAAACCACAGGAGTGAAGAAAAACAGCCACCCAAAGGAAAGGTATTTTTACCATACATCAAAGGAGTCACAGACAGAATAGGGAAACTGATGAGGAAACACAACCTCCACATGATCTACAGACCAACCAAGAAAGGTTCACTTTGAATTTTCACCCTGTCTTCTGGGGTATTAGCTATTCCTCCTAATTTGGTGTCATCTGCAAATTTGAGAAGCATGCCCCCTATTCCTTCATCCAAATCATTGATAAAGATGTTGAATAGCACTGAGCTCAAGATAGAGCCCTGTGGCACCCCACTGGTCACTTCTCTCCAGGATAAAGAGGAGCCATTGTTGAGCACCCTTTGGGTTGGGTCAGTCAACCAGTTACTTGTTGGGATTTGTAACCTGAGTTTAAATGTCCAGATGTGGGAAAGT